TGAGCCACCGTGCTGGGCTGAGTAATATCTATTTTTAAGTTACTTATTTTTAAAATAAAAATGTCACATTATAGAAAATTCATAAAATACGGGTTTTTTTCCTCTCTTTTTCCTGTTTTTAAAAAATATTTGCTGTTAAAAAATAGTCCTCACCATTGTTTAAGTTTGAAAAACGCCCACACTTAATTATTTCTTTCTTTCTTTTTGTTTTTTTGAGTTGGGGTCACCCAGGCTAGAGTGCAGTGCCACGATCTCTGCTCACTGCAACCTCTGCCTCTCGGGCTCAAGCAGTTTGCCAACTTCAGCCTCCCAAGTAGCTGGGACCACAGGCATGCACCGCCACACCCAGCTAATTTTTTGTATTCTTTTTTTTTTGCAGAGACGGGTTTCACTGTGTTGCCCAGGTTGACCTCGAACTCCTGGCCTCAAGTCATCTGCCCGCCTCGGCCTCCCAAAGTGCTGGGATTACAGGTGGGAGCCACCACTCCAGGCCAAACAATTATTTCAATTATTCTTCCTGCACAGAAAGTGAAGGAGCAAATATTTGTGATACCTAACAGTCATTTCAGGAAGCCTGAAGATATTTTAAGGATAAAAGACATCTTAACATTTTTATTATTCTGAATTTAGGGCCTAAAATAAAAGCAGAGTGAAGAAGAATTGTCAGAAGATATAAGGTATGAACAGAAATTATAATTTTTAAAACCCAAGACCTCTGGGTGCAGTGACTAATACCTGTATTCCCAGCACTTTGGGAGGCCGAGGCGGGCTGGTCACTTGAGGTCAGGAGCTGGAGACCAGCCTGCCAACATGGTGAAACCCCAACTCTACTAAAAATACAAAAATTAGCCAGGCATGGTTGTGCGCCTGGTGGTGTAATCCCAGCTACTCGGGAGGCCAAGGCAGGAGAATCACTTGAACCCGGGAGGTGGAGGCTGCTGTGAACCTAAATTGCACCACTGCACTCCAGCCTGGTCAACAAAGGAGACTCTGTCTCAAATTAAAAAAAAAAAAATTATCTGCACATGGCGGCACATGCCTATAGCTCCAGCTACTGGACAGGCTGAGGTGGGAGGATGGCTTGAACCTGGGAGGTCAAGGCTGCAGTGAGTGGAGACTGCACCACTGCATTCCAGCCTGGGTGACAGAGCGAGACCCTAACAAAACAAACAAAAACTCCAAAAGATAGTTAAAGTTATTATACATATTTTAAAACCACATCAGTAGGTAACAGTTATTACTAGCAACTTAACTGAAAAGTGAGGAATTTTTGGTCAAAATTATTCCAGAGTATGCCAAGAAGTCTAGAGAATTAATAGAATAT